CTTATATGTTTTCAATGACGTTTCTTGTTACATGTTCAAAAACATCAACCAATATTGCATATCCATAATTATTATAATGGGTATAATTAAACAATACTTACACTATAACGTAAATTTGAAGTGTAATAGAAAAAATATATATTTTTACGCCATTTTGAATTTTACTCGAATACAAATACTTTTCCCCCCTCAACAAATAAAAATACAGATACAAATACCGGCTGCTTCGCACATCCCTAATATATATATATATATATATATATATATATATATATATATATATATATATATATATATATATATATATATATATATATATATATACATATACATATACACACACACATATATATATATATATATATATATACACACACACACACACACACACACACACACACACACATATATATATATATATATATATATATATATATAAGCAGGGGATGACAAAAGTTTGAGACCGTGAACGCTACCAGGAGCCCTGAGAGACCTGATAATTAAACAAGAAATTAAAAAAGAAAGAGTCTATAAAGCACAAAGAGCCTCATTAACTGTCTTTTAGTTGGACATTAAAACAGCAGACGAAAGGAAGGTAACGGAGCATGATGGGTAAAAACTTTAGATTAGCAAACACATTTTCCCTCAATAAACTTCTAATTACTGCTGACTGATAGCAAGGAAGGCGGCTGCTGCAGTGCTTGTGTTTATGCATGAGGCAGGATTAAAGTGATTATTATTACTAATAAACAGGCAATATACAAATATATAACTAATATTAAATAAATCAAAGTCACTATTTTCTCAAAGCCTAAAAATTAGGAATTTTAATCAGGATTTCTGAATAATTTTTTTTTAATTAAAGGACTCCTTTTACAAGATGTACGATAAGCCTTTGGTGTCTCCAGAATGTGTCTGTAAAGTTTCAGCTCAAAACACCCATCTAATATTATATAATGAAGAATCTGCTCATTTAGGGTTCAGATCACATTGTAGCAGTTTTTGTAGCCTGTGGCTTTAAATGCAAATAAGCGGCATCTCCCCGCCCACTGCTTCAACGTGCGTGTCTGCTTCTACTGCATTACGTTAGATAAACAGCAGTCAGTGATAGAGACAGACACGGATAAAGCTGAAATACAGCTCACCAGTCAACAATGCCAAGTTAGTTTATTTAATGTATTGGTGGTGGAGTTTATTCAAGCCTTTCTGAAACGATGAGACACACAAACACTGTTTGCAGTACACACACACAAATTAGTGTTTACTGACACCATGTGGCCGTGGTGATAATATCGATTAAGAATTACATAGCTATTTTACTGCCTTTATAACAAACATGCTCTGTTTCAAAAACGTTTTAAACTTAAAAAATGAATTATTTAGGTGCAGCTGATCACAGAAAATTGGAACAGATATTATAATCTCAGTTTCTTGGCTAAAAATGTTCTGTGGACATGTGCGCACATGTCATTATGGAGACATGGTACCTGTCAATCAATTTAGTGGGTGGGGAAAAACACACTCCTACATCATTTTAATGTCAGGGAAAAAAAAAGACACTTGTTGGGTTTCTATCACTCCAATATGACTGTGCACACTATACCTACAAAAAGTTCTGTCCAACCAGCTTACTAAAGTTGATTTTCATCATAGGTGCCCTTTAAAGACTTGGTTAAGATCTTTTTAAATGCAGGTAAACAACTTCAGAGTTTAAAAATTGAATTGATCTCTATTATTTTTATTCAGCTTACTCAAGATAGCTATAAATAATCCTGAACTCTTTCACTGTGCCGATCATACTGTAAAATAAGTATATGCTCTTCAATAGTGTTTCTGTTTTGTTTTCTATTGCAATTATTTACACGATTTAAAAGTCAATATCTTTTTACTTTAGCAGCAATAGCACTGAAGTCTTGTTTGATCAAATGTATTTAAAAGAACTGCAGGTTTAGGGGTAAAAATCAAATATCAACATAATAATGGACAAAAGCATGAAGCAATGTATCTTGAGGCCTTAAACTGCTGACTTTTTACGACTGGCAGAAATCCTGTTTCTGGATCTGCATGCAAATCTGGCTATGAACAAGGTCACAGTGAAGCTTTTTGTTGCTTTACATAAAACCGCAGCACAAAAAAACAATCATCTATTTGGCATGATAAACAACAGCATGTGTGTCCAAGAAACAACTAACAATGGGTAAACTATCCCTCTGCATCATAACATAACTCCCCTTATGAATACTGCATTTGGTACCACAAGTGCCACAAACTAAAAAATACATAAATAATATCTTTATGACATCTGTGACTTTAATCTTCACAAATTAAATCTACAAATTCAGATTTTTACATAAGAAAATGGGTTTTTAATCAAAATGTAAAAAGAACGCTTCGTTTTTTTTGGAAATAGGGTTAAAAATAATTGTAATTTAATTGAGTTCAGCGAGTAGTATTGATATTTCAGCACTCCTCACTCATTTAGATTGGACTATAGGTCTTGGTCGTAATTCTTGAAGTTGTTGAAAATGTTGCCAATGAGTGAACCCACTTACCCTGAAAGGGATTTTGATTATTGTACCTTATTGAGACTACAGTTCCTAGCCACATCAGTCTAGAAAAGAACAACTTTTTAGTTTATTTTTAATATTATTTACATATTATTTTCTGTCAGTATTTTGTAATATTATTATTATGTTTCTTTATGTAAGCAGGTAAAAAACCCACTGAGATCGAAATCTCTTTTACAAGTATGACCCGGCCAAGAGGTCTGCAGCACACGACTTATTGAAAATAATAATAATAATAATAAATCATATAAAAATACAGTTTGGTTATTCAGCCATAGCACATTACAATATGTTAAAAACACATACATTGAGAAATGGACTGTTGTTGTTTGTTATAAAAGACTAACAGTCTAAGTACATGATGTAACTACAGAAGTGTCAAGCTTTCAATAGGAGAATTAGCAAAAATCTTGAGCGAATCTCTGAAGCTGCGTCCCAAATGGCACACTATACACTATGCACTCATGCACTATGTACTTATGCACATACACACTCAACAGGATAGTACATGTATGTTGTGGCGTCCCAAATGGCACACTAATGTTTTTTTACTAAGCGGAAATTCAAACCGTTTCCCTGATGACGTTTGACGGTTGCCAAATCAGTGAAATAAACGACCGAATTATCAAATATTACCTGCCGTGAGTATAACCGCATTCACCATCGGGAGGCGCTATAATCACTCTCGTAGAAGAATTTTGTTCTCACCATCCAAAATAAATAAAGGCTGTTTCTCAATATGCGTTCTTCAGCGGTCTTGCGTCCTCGTGTTCTCGTGAAACGTCATCATCAGCTGCCTAAGTTCAGTTCCAATACTCAAGACCGCAAGTACGGAGGACGCGTGAAACTTCCCGGATGTGTTCTTGATATCGAGGACGCACTGATGCTGACTTGAGCACCGAACTCGCTCTGGAAGTCCAAGAAGTCATTGCGACTGGAGGTGGGAAGCGCAGCATTTTATTTAGATTTATTATTAAAGTTTAGAAATATCACTTATTTACCTCAGGAGTTTCCCTAAATGAAACGGTGAAAGTAAACATTAACATGAACATTTTAATAAAGGAATAAACACATTAAGAGTTGTTTGCTGAAATTCGTATTAAAATCTGTTTTATTTATATTGTGCAGAGTATATTTATAATGTTTTCATGCAAAGTATATATTTTGAAGAGGGGAAAAACAATAAATCGTTGTATGAGTGCTGTAATGTTTAAATAATTTCCATTTAAAACACGTGAAGGTCACATGACCATCAGGAAGAACGCAGCATCCCATTTCTCTAGGACGCGTTCTCTGCCCTCGCGGTCTCCTGAGTTCGTTCTTCCGAGGACACCTGGCAAGACCGGTCTCCACAAGAACGCAAGTCCGTTCTCTGCGTTCTTGGAATTGAGAAACAGCCAAAGTTATTCAACATGTGCGTCCGA